TTTATAAAAAATAAATATATATATATATATATATTTATTTATTTATTTATAAAAAATAGAAGAAAATGAAAGATTCAAAATATATTCGAGGAAAGTGATTTATGGTTATTGTATTCCAGCGATCGATACTATAAAATGTTTTCTCGTTTGTAGCGAATTTTTCTGATTAAATCCCCGTATAAATTCAATCTTTGATTAAAGAATTTTAATAAAATTTATACGTAATTTTCTTTTTGTTTAAAAAAAAAAGAAATTTAAATTGTTATAATCAATTTAATTAAAACATTAATTTTTGTAAGTAATTTCTTTAGAAAAAATTTATTAATAATTATAAAACATAATATCTATTAATCTTTAAAATAAATAAATTTAAATATGATTTTTTTAATACAGAAAATCGTATAAATTATATAATTTTTGCGAGTTTTTTGCTTGTGTTTAGAAATTTTTTGTGTTTTTAAAGCCAATTTAAAAAGACTTTCTGCACTTTTAGATATAAATTTTATACACTTAAAAAAATATTTTTTTTTTCTTATTTTAAAGTAGATTTATTTAGTAAATGTTTAATTTTAAATATACATTTTGTTTAAAAAAAAACTAGAGTTTTAACATTATAATTAATCTAAAAATTAGAAGTGGAATTGTCTTATTGAAAGACAGTAAAATAAATTTTAAATGATTTATAATAACTTCATTGATGGAATTGAGTCGTAAATAATACTGTCAAGTTCTTTACAAGACATCAATTTTCTTACAGTTCACCAAAATTATGTTGGAGCTGATGCAGATAAGATTCCATTCTTTCTTTCTGTGGTTTTGACAGAAGCATCACAAGGTGTTCAACAATGCAGAGCTGTTCTATGGAAGAAAACGGTAATTAATATTAACTTTTCAATGTTACACAATACATAAAAAGTTATTTAAATTTAAATAAAAATACACGATCCTTCAAATTATCAGTTGTAATAGTTTTTTTTTTCTTTTTTTAAGTGTAAAAATTACACCTTAAAAATTGATTTTATTCATTACAAATACATAAAATTAAGTGTTAAATATTGATAAGAACGAACAGATTTAGTTGTTTTTAAAGCTTAAATTTGTGTTTTCAATTTGATTTCTATCGTGTTATTTTTATCCAGTAAATCTGTTTCATCACTTAAATTTTTTCTGTTAACAATGAACAGATTTACCTATTTTCAGCACATGAATTTATGCATTAGAAATATTAATAAATATATTCGTGCTGTAAACAGATAAGTCTGTGCATTGTAAAGAATTAGGTATATTTATTTTCAGCACTTAAATTTATGTAATAAATTTAACCCATTTAACCCATTGGAAATTTAATAAATTATTCATTGAAAACATAAAATTGGCCCGTCGAGAAGTAATTTTATATATAGTTTCCATGCATAAAATTGTATGGGGCCCCTTTTTTCTTTTATTAATAAAAAAAAAACCCTTAAAGAAGCTTAGGAAAGAACCCAGAAAAAATTCTCTATATCTCCCCTCTCGAAGGCCATGCATATAAAATTAAAATGTAAATATTTAATGTACTGTACGATTGTACAAAAGAATGAAATAATGTTATGAAATTATTTATGAAACAATTATTTTTAGCTGCGATAAATTTTATAAATTATTAGCATTCAAATTTATTTGTAAATCAACAGTTTTAATAAAGAGAGAAAAATAACAATTGCATAAGTAGACAAGGATATCAAAATTGTTAATTATCTTTTCTTCACTGAAAGAACACAATATATATATATATATATATATAGTGTATTATATATGATTTAACGATTTCCCAACACTCGTTAATTATTCGTGTAATGTTATTTTTAAATTAGTTTCTTGTCATTTCGACATTCTTTCTGCCATACGAAACAGTTATTGTATAATAAATAATTTATAAAATATTCCTCAACTTTAATTTTTATTTTAGAAAAATTTGAATTATTGATTAGATATTCTCTCTTTATAGAAACGTTAATAGGTTAAAATTTTAATGCTATATATTTTATTAATATTTATAAAATAAAATAGAATTATTTTTTTAAATATTTAACTTCGTTATTCTTAGATTTGTAATTGGTTTATGAATTTTAATAAGTTTCTGATCGGTGGAGAGAGAGAGAAAAATTAATGTTTTTAAAGATGTAATAAAATGATTTTTTTTTATATGAAACAAATTCATCTTTTAATATAATAAAATTCATTTATTACTAATTTATAATTTATGTTTTACTTGATGATTTTGTTTTTGTTTTATTTGCTTTCAAGTAAATTTAGTATGTGGCTTGTTTATAAGATTGGCTTTAAAAAAAAATTAATAATAATAAAATTATTATTTGAGGAAATAAATTAAAATTTATTTAAAAATTGTACAAGAAATCTATCATTTTCTATGTGCTATTCAATGATTTTTTTTATATAAAACGAATTTTTATGAATTTTTTAATAACATTTCTGATGATTTTTTTATGAAACGAAAATTTCAAATGATTGATAATCTAATAGTTAATGATTGATAATCTAATAGTTAATAACTTATTGATCAAAATTTAATATCAAAATGATGATCAATACGATCAAAAATTGATCTTAATTTTGATCAAAATGATTTTGCAGTATTTACATTCATCAAATATATTCATCCTCTTCCTAGCATATAAATGATAAAGAACTAAGTATCATTTACATAATTATCTTTAAAATACATAATTTATTTCTGTTTATTAATATGTTTTCTTTAGTAAAATAAACAAACTTAAAAGTATACTTACAATTAAGATTTATTTAAATTTATACATAATAATATATATATATAAAAACATTACTATATTAATACAGTATTAAATTTTGCTGCAAAAATATTCTGAATATTGACAAATAATATCAAAAATTAATAATAAATGACATATAGGAATACAGTATATTATATAATAGTATAATAGTAGTGTAGTATAGTGTTCACCCATAATTATGAATGATATTGTGTTGTAGTATAGGAATAGTACAGTGTAGTAGTAGTAGTAGTAGTGCATAATAATAATGCAATATACTACTAAATAGTATAATGTAATGATGTATTATTGTTACTGTATTAATACTACTAGTAGTATTAATACAGTAGATTACACTACAGTATATTAATAGTGTAATTTAGTGTTCTAGCATAATACATATTGAAGTGTGATGTAGTTATATTTATACACTTAATTAATATCAAATAAATGGCAGCAATTAAAGAAAATTAGAGAAAAATAGTTTTATTATTATTATTATTATTGGAATATTTTGAAAATAAAAATAGAATTTACATGGAAATAATGCATTTTTGATGATGACATACATTCTGTCTGTTAACCTATTTTTGTTATGGTGAATGCATTAAATGACCACTGATGTAAATCAAAAATGTGTTTTCGGGTCAGTTTTATCATTAAGAAAAATTTTTTCTATATAATTTTATGTATTTTCTTCATATACATTTTTATAATAATAATAATAATAATAATAATAAATTTAATACAGTTTAAATTATGTTCATATACATCAATTATTAACTGATAATATATTTGTTACCTTGCATTTTGACTTGTAATATTGACAAAAAAAATTAACATTTTCACTAAAAATAAGAAAAAACAAAAACACAAAAAGGGATTTTAAAAAATTTAAGAATTTGTATAAATTTTAACTATTAAAAATCAAATTTTCGTTGAAATTTTTATAAATTAATAACTTTAATTTTTTATAGGGTGCAGAAAAAATTTGCCTCTCTCATTGTCCTAATAAACCATTAACTGTGAAATCCATATTAAGGTAAATATTTGATAATGTATCCAATGATTTTATATGATAAAATATGCTTATCTTAATTCATTTTTTTTTCTAAATAGCAATTTTCAAAACATGGAAAAAATAGAGAAAGGCCCCAAGGAAATTTTCATACCAGAAATTCAAAAGGTAGATTAGATAATAATAATAATAATTAAATTAATGATATATTATTTTGCATTAAAGTAATTAGTTTAGAAATTCATAATAATAATTACTTTTCAAGCCATACAATTAATGCAAAAAAACAGTCATAATTTGCATAATCTTCATTGAAAAAATGAATTTAAATAGTTGAAAATTAATCATTTTATATTAAAATTATTAAGTATTTATTGCTATTTTTTTTTAATATTATTTATAAAATCCCTCATATGCTATTCCTTTTATTACTCTCCTATTTATCTATCTATTCTATAGGGAATTTCCCTAATTATTTGATATTAAAATTAAAATTGATAGAAGTAGACGTTTTCATTGATCCTAATGGTAATATAAACAATTTGCATATCTCTTCTGTTTTAATTGAAACGTGAGTAATCATCTCTTAGACGTGAACATTGTAAATTCTTAAAATATGTAAAAATAAAAGTAGGAAAATATTCAAATTGCTTATATTAATATCGAGATCGATGGAAACTTTCCTGAAGTTTTAAAGTAAGTGTGTAGCGAGTGTTAAATTTCTTAAAATGTACAAAATATTGAGCCAGAATCTTGAATAAGAATTTTACTTAAAAGAAAAAAAAAGAGGAGGAAGAAGAGAAGTGTTTCAAAAATCACTTAGAGATCACATCAAAATTCTCAAAGCAAACCAGTTCTTAAGTAAAAAGGGGAAAAAACAATTTAAATAAGAATATGGAAATAAAAATAACACGAAAAGTGAATAGTATTTGATACAAAAACTTCAAAGTTAGAGGCATTTTCTCATGGAAAGTATCCCCTAGATAGATCGCTCCTTATCCCACGAATCGAATTCAATCCTTTTTATAATCAATTAAAATATAAAATAATACAAAGATTATCTTAATAAGTAATTTAGTGTCTGATCTAAAAATCTGACTTTAAAATTAATTACACTTATCAAATCTAAAAACACTTTCCATAGAATAACCATAGGTTCTAACTTTAGACCCTTTATAAAGAAGGATATAAACTACTGTATAAGCTGAAAAAGGTTATAACTTAGGGCCTCGTTTTTTTATTCTAAAAAATTATTTATATCTATTGTTAGTTTAGGAAGTTGAGGAATGTCCTCTAATAGTCTAGGGTCACTAGTCTAAATCTTCCAACAGTTTTAAGTGTAAGAAAAATATCAGGAGATAGCCCTATTTTACAGACTTAATTACTGAAAAATACTTGTATTTATTATAATACGAAGACAAAAATATAATATATATATATTTTTTTTCCTACCAACTTATTTAATAATTTGTAAAGAATAAAATCTGCTGTGCAAATGTCGTATAATTGTTTATTATTGAACAAATTTCTATTGATTTTTCACGGTAAATGCAACTTAATCGTGTTCATTTACAATCAATATAAACACGGCATTAAACTAAAATATTGAGAAAATTTAATACAAGTGCAGTCATCATTTTTCCTAACCTTAATCAGGAAATGAGAAAATTATAATCTTGATGATGGAATTCTGTATTTCTCGACACTTTAATAATAATAATAATGATTTATTTTCTAAGCTCCGTCCTTTACGTATTAAATATTTAAGTTTCATATTAACAAAAATAAATAATTAATTTTAATATTTCTCAAATGTAAAAGAGTTAACGACCTTCTTTTGTTGTACTGGAAGATATTGAAAGGCAACGATGTGTAGAAGAAGAAATCAAAGATTTCCAACCAGTCGATCGCTAACCACAGGTTGAAAAATTGATGTATTTTCATCAGAAGTAACAACTAACCATCTACTTTATCAGAAATAGCCATTAACTGAAAGAACCATCAAACAGTATGTCTTCACCTCCTGTAGTTAGCAACCCACTGGTTGAGAAATGCTTTATCTATTATAACAAAGTAAACACCAAAGTTTTTATTTCAGAAAATTGTCATTTATCGAAGCTCTTTCTTTTTCTATTTCTTAAAATAATCTACAATAATTTGAGCCTTTATAAAGTTTTTATAATAAATCAGTTAAAATCATCTATTTTATGCCTGCATTAAACTGATAAATATCAACGACAGACTCTGGCAAACTGGTGAATTCTGGTGATTAAATAGACGTTTTAATAATAATAATAATTAATTTTTCAGCTGATTTTGGGCCCCCTAAAACTAGGACATCATTCAAGTGCCTCGTTTGTTCAGTCGTATAAACTGATGAATATTCTGTAATAACTTCTTCTTGTTAAATTTTAAAGTTCATTTGAATCTCGTAAATCGTAATAATTTCTAAACTTTCTTTAAATATTGTTATCTGAAGTATGATTGGATGAAAACATCATTAATGGGCGTAACATCAGTTTTTTAACCAATCATTTATAAGATGAAATCTATCTTCGTCCAAATCTTTTCAGTTTCATATCAACTATATTTAACAAAGGACTATTTATGTTTAATGAAATATTTCAACTTAATTTTCTTATCTATAAAAGTAAATATTTTAATATTATCGATTAATTTTTATAGTATATAATACTTAATTATAATATAGATATAAATCATTTTGACTTGTAATATTGACAAAAAAAATTAACATTTTCACTAAAAATAAGAAAAAACAAAAACACAAAAAGGGATTTTAAAAAATTTAAGAAT